TCTATTCCCTATCATGTCTATGAATGAATTACAATACAAAAGAATGTCCATTAAAAAAAAATTTGTATTTATTCACACTACTCTAGTCTCTAGATTCACTATTTTGATATCTTCTTAATAGGCGAGGAAACAAAGGAAACATGATCACAAATGTAGGCATGTGGCAGCAGGAAGAAGACTCCATGAGGACTTTGGCCCCATGTAGCAGAAAACAAAAGGGAAGAACAAGAGAAACAAAGGACTTGTCTCAAGGTTTGTTGCTATTGTGTCCAATTGAAAGGGGAAATTCAAGTGAAATATATAACATGGACGTGATAGGCGTTGGAATGGATGGGGCTGGTATGTTTGGTGATTGGGGTTAAAGAAATCCACTGGCCAACAACTGACATGAGTGATGGGAATTTTGGTGGATATGTCCACTTGGAAATAAGGGAAATAAGGACACTCCATATGCTTGTAGATTCAATGTATGGCTTAAATGACAAAGAAAATTATAGAGTGTGATTTTGGTTCTTCAAAAAAGTAACAAAAATATTTTATGCAATCCAATCCATTAGAAATATTTCGCGATGTTTTGTACAATTCTACTAACTATTAATGAGAAAGGGCCTTGAATGTAGGGTAGGTCTCCCCCATTAATCGTTGCTCTTGTGCTGTTCTGCCTAGGGCTTTCTGAAAAAAGAATATTGTGGCTAACTGGTTCCAAATAACATAAGGGCTTGATTGACAACATCAAAACTATTTGGGGCGTGGTTTTTCCTATATAAAACTTGCAAACTAATGATGCATTGTTTCTCTGATGATGTGTAAGTCCTCTTGGAGTCTCTCTTACTACTTCTTGAAGCTTTCCCTTACAACCCGACGTCCTGGGCATCTTTGTTTTTCATCTTTTTCCCAACAGAGGAAACATGATTTTGGAACTAAAACGAAGCGAATTCCGCTAATCATCAACGAGAAATCAAGTGGGGCACCGGCTGTTTCAGATATATATCGCTGCAATGTGAGGATTAGTGATCTGGGTCGCCATGGCAAAGTCAAGGAAGCAAGGAAACTGTTCGACGAAATGCCCCAACGGAATTCTTTTTCATATGCTTCAATGATCACTGTTTATGTGAAAAATAATGATCTTCCCGGAGCTGAAAGGCTCTTTAGGACAATGCCTCCGAGGGAAATTGTTTCCGAGTCTGCAATGATCAATGCCTACGTGAAGGCCGGTCGGGTAGATGAGGCTCGAAAAATGTTTGAGGAAATGGCTGAAAGAAATGTGTTCTCTTGGACCAGTTTGATATCTGGGTATTTCTGGATTCGTCAAGTTGAAGAGGGTCGTAGGCTTTTTGATCGAATGCCCGTGAAGACTATCGTATCTTGGATAACGGTGGTTCTGGGTTATGCTCAGAATGGTTTGATTGATCAAGCCCGTGATATTTTCGATAAAATGCCTGAGAAAAATGTTGTTGCTTGGACAGCTATGATCAAGTCTTATGTTGAGAATGATCTAATTGATGAGGCATTTAAGCTCTTCCATGATATGCCTCAGAGAAACTTGTTTACTTGGAATATTATGATTTCTGCTTGCCTAAATGCTAACAGAGTAACTGAAGCTATTCAGCTGTTTAATTCCATGCCTCAAAGGAACTCAATTTCTTGGACATGTATGGTTTCAGGACTGGCACGAAATGGGATGATATACAGTGCAAGGGAATACTTTGATCAGATGCCCAGCAGAGACATAGCTGCATGGAACGCAATGATCACAGCATATGCTGATGAAGGCAACATGGATGAAGCTAGTGAGCTTTTTCAATTGATGCCTAGCAAGAATGTTATCACTTGGAATGCCATAATAGATGGATATTCGAGAAGTGGCCCTGAAGGTGAAGCATTAAGGCACCTAATCCTCATGTTTCATTTTGGCTTAAGACCTGATGAGACCACCATTACCAGTGTGTTGACCTCTTGTGAAGCAATGCTCGAGCTTACACAAGTCCATGCTCTCGTTATTCCTCTTGGATTTGAGGACAATGCTTCTCTAGTAAATGCTCTTATTACGAAGTATTCAAGAATTGGAGAGCTGAACTCTGCCAGGCTTGCTTTTGAAAGTCTCAAGTCTAAGGATCTTGTGTCATGGACTTCCATGATATTAGCATATTCAAATCATGGATATGGTCTGCACGCATTGAATGTCTTTGCACGGATGCTAAGATCAGGTGTCAAGCCAGATGAGATTACTTTTGTGGGAGTCTTGTCAGCTTGTAGTCACGCTGGTCTTGTTGAGAAGGGCCAAAGGCTTTTTGATTCAATGAGGCGCGCTTATGGCTTAAAACCATGGGCAGAGCATTATTCCTGTCTTGTTGACGTCTTTGGTCGAGCAGGACAAGTCGAGAAGGCCATGCGTGTTGTCAGCAAAATGCCCCTATCTGATCGTGATGGTGCTGTACTTGGAGCTCTGCTAGGTGCTTGCAGGATGCACGGAGATGATAAACTGGCTGATCACATTGGTCGGAAGCTGATTGAGCTTGACCCTTCTAACTCAGGGGGATATGTTCTCCTGGCTAATGTATACGCCGCATGCGAGAAATGGGATGAGTTTGCTCAAGTGAGGAAGATGATGAAAGAGAGGAACGTGAAGAAAGTACCCGGTTATAGTCAGATAGAAGTTAAAGGGAAGAATCATGTATTCTTTGTAGGGGACAGAACTCATCCACAAGTTCAGGAAGTTTATGAAATGTTGACCGATACATTACTGCCATCAATGCAAGAAAGGGGTTAATCTAGGAAACTCATATCATATATGCGTAGCAGCACGTAAGAGATTAAAGAAAGTACCTATTCAAATTCTTTGATTCCAAACTATAATCCAATTATTTTGGTTTTTCTTCTGCAGAATTTCCTTATTCTTTCAGCTGCATCCGCAGAGGGAAAAACAGCAGCTGGTATTCAGCAGCAAAGCAACCTTGAATTAAACAAGCTAAAAAAGGCCACAATTCGTAGGCACTTCAGTATTACAGATCCTGCGTTTGATTATTAGTCAAACAGTTTTTAAGTAACTGGGATAACTAAAATAGAGGAAAATTTTTTGAAGAATAGCCTATAGATTATCACAGTTTATGGCTTATGAACTAAATCATTACAGGAAAAGAGAAGAGAAAAAGAAAAGACGAAAAACAACGTAAAAATTGCTTCATGCTACAAAATAAAAATTTTAGTGCGTGGCTTCCTGGGATATGCTTCTTAATCTCCCTCGGAGCTGCAGAAAATATGAGGAGAAATAGGAAAGCTTGAGTTCATTGTTCTATTCAGAAACCCGGAGGCTCTCACTTGTCAACCATATCTTCTTTTGGACAATGAACACAATATCATCACCGTCCTGATGTGAATCTGAACTGGAATCAGCTGTTGCTACTGCTTCCCAATGCAATGCTGCTAAATACTTCTTTACAAAATCTATCACTCGTTGTTTGTCCCGGATAATAATGAAACCAGTTGGCCTAAGCATGCGATCCATCTCAAGTAACAAGTCCTCACCACTACAGCCTTTCTTCTCAACATCCGAAAGGACAGTCCAAGCATGGAGCAAATCATAAGTTCGAGGATATGTCGAGAAGGCTTCACACCTGTCAAGATAATTGGTCCAAGAACTCAAAATTTGCATATGGGTCTTCAACACAACTTTAATGACTCTAATCAACCATGACAGAGTCAAGGAAATAGGAAAAGCAATGAATACATTATAACAGAAACTGGAAAAGCTAGAAACATGTCTGACAGAAGCTATGTGCGGGATCCAATGGTTCATCCATTTGACATAGACTCAGGAATATGTGTTTTAAACTATTTTTATAGATTTTTACTTCTTTTTGAATGATTAAAGGGTCATGTCCACACTAATGTAAAGCTGTCTGACTAAAGTGGCAGACAGGTACCATAAAGTAATGAGTCCATGTAACCAACCTAGAACTCATGGTCTAACCATACCCTAAGAGGACCTACAGTTGTAAGATACGTGCAAGAATAAGAGAAAAGTTATCTGGATGGATAACAAAAGCAGAGACGTAGCGAAATAAAAAAGAATGACCCTTTGCAGAAAGAATAATATATTATATATTTCAAACTTGACAATGCAGATGAGTGCAATTGAGTCCATGCATTCGTGCATACCAGTTATGGACAGAACCAATCAGGCCTCGGTCATATATCACCTTCAGTGTGTTTGGTCCATCCTCAGGGACAACATTCATCACCCAAACATCCTTGCCCTTTAGAGCAGCTGCAAATGACCCCATGTTCGCTTTCATGTCCATTAAATTTCTAAGAGTATCGGACTCAATCTTCGGAGCTAAGAGATTCCAATATTGCTCAACTCTCCGGCGCCATGTTTCCTGTACATAACCAAGCAACAACTAATTCAGTGTCTATCATCACAGCACACTGCATATAAGCTTAGAAAAGCAAACATGAATAAACACAGATAACTGCTGCCTCTATTACCGTATCCTTTTCAAACATTTCACTTGAATAGCCAAAATCAGCAAGTCTAGGAGGAGGAGAGGTCAATCTAGAAGGCCAAGGAACCAACCCACTCCCCCTGGCTTTATGGTCATCTGATAGAAACCAAAAGAAAGTTTTAATCAGAATAAACCCTCAAGCTTATCTTTTTAGTTATTCAGGAAAAAGGAAGCTGTTGACTGTTTATTAAAAAAAAAAAAATAGAATGAAAACAAATCAAACATCAGCTAAGGAACTTCTGCATTTTGCTCAAAAAAATCTCCATCATTTGAAAACTAAGCAAAAAACTGTAATGCTATACAAGAAAAAAGATACTCACAGTCAGTATATGGTGCGATACAGGCTTCCATTGGCACACCCCAAACAGCATCTGGATCATCATCAGAGCGGCAAAGGGGAGGTTGAGTACCAGGTGCTCTTTGCATATAACAGTCATTTGTTAGGGGTTTTTGCCAAATGACAGTTTGATTCCTCTTTGCAGCAATTCTCCAACACATACGTTCCACTAGGGCACTCATTTCTCTCCATATTCTAAGATCCTCCTCATCCTGTGCATAAGCTTCTGGAGATGAGTATGCAAAATAGCCTCCGGGTCTAAGTAACCTATCAAGCTCAAGAAGAAGAATTCCATCCCTCTGAAGCCAGTCAATCCTACAACGTGAACAGTGTGCAAGCTCAAATGATCTGCTTGGGTAGGGGAGCCTCTTGGTTCCCAAAACACCAAGATAGGCAGGAATTCCCCTTTCCAGGGCAAACTGAATTTGGTTTTGATGCACATCATTGGGTGCCAAAGACATTGCTATTATATCAGATGAAAGAAGATAAGCTCCAAAGCTTGCAACACCACAGCCGACATCTAGGACCGTACGCAATCTTCCTTCATTGTTTAAAATATTGTTTGAAAAGTTCAGCATCTGCCAATTAAAACCACAGGAAAGGTTATTGTTCCACCAATAGAATGCAAAAATACAAAAATAAAGGCCATCTTATCAAAAACAATCCCCATGACTAAAAGAAGAAAACAAACATGATGAAAGAAGGGCAAACACATGACTCCGGGTGCAATGGATATCCACGATGCAGTTTACAGAAGGGATAAGGATCACGTTAATGTCTGTTTTCGGAAAATATCAGAGTTAAGAGACCAGCAATCATACATTTGCAATTGAAGCAATATACTTGTCAGCTCCATAGTGGAAATGAGTGCCTCCCCCAGGAAATGCTATCTTTTCACCTTTAACAACCATCCAATTCTGATCAGACTTTTCATGTGCAAGGTGTGTATGGGGAATGTTCACTTTCCAGACCTCATCTCTGCTTTTGGGCCACTTAATTGGGATCTGCATATCACAAAAATAAGTAGACAGTTAGTATGAGCATACCTGTCAGTCATTCTGATGTCGAAAATATTGCATTCAAACTCCAATTACTAGGCTTATGCATAATCTTACCTTGTATCCTGGTGGAGGAGGAATCAGGCAATTGAACCTCTTCTCAGGTGGTGGGCAATGACGTTCATAGTGCTCCATCAAAGATAAGTCCAGCTTCAATCTCATTTGGTAAATGAGATTTCTGTCCAAGCAGGGAATTAATTCTGAGTGCCTATCATCACATACCTTCAAAACATGGAGCAGACAAATTAAATACTTAGAAATCTAATAAAATGGATGAGGATGAGGAAAAAACTGCACAATCAAGAAACTTACAGGGAAAGTTTTGGGTGTAATATCATCCTCTCCATTCTCCAGGCCAAATTTTGTTGAAGAATCATCTTGCTTGCCATCAGTGTCATCATCTCCACCCAAATAAGATGATCCAAGTTTTCTCAAAGATCTTCCATATTCCAGTGCTGCTGCTCCACGGCTTGAAGAACCAAAAATGGATCCATAGTATAGATATAGAAACCCAAGAAAGATTGCCGCACCACAGAAAGAAGTGATTAAACGCTTCTTTTGGCCTCCATCAGATCTGTTCCTCATTGTTCTTCTACTTATGAGATCCTTCACCTCGACTTTCCACCTCAAGCAAGCAGATCTCTTTGTCCTAAAGCTATCTCATGCAAAATTGCAACTAAAAATAAATCTGCAATTATGCAACCATCAAGCTTTAGACGAGAGAGAGAGAACACCACAGACCTGTGAACAGTTGGAGGAAAACTATCAGCACATTTACTCCATCATATGAGACTAGCATGAAACTTTCTCAGGTTGCTTCATGCTGACTTAGATCTAATGATGTACTGGGGGCAAAAATCAGAAATATTTTTGACCAATGAACTAAAGAGGAAGGCACTTCCTCCTAAAGGCATAGAAAATAAATGGAGATAAATTCAATTATGAAAGATCTTCTATCCAAAAACATCAAGTCTTCATCAGGGCCAAACAAGAGAATAATCGCAAATCAGTCAACCCAGCAACAAATAAAGCTTAACTACATACTCAGTAGCACATCCAACTATCCATCCAACTTATTGAACCACTAAAAGGTTTGAAAAGTGTCACACAATCATATTCAAATCTGACTAGCTAAGTAACTACGCATAGAAAAAAACAAGAATGCAGATGAGGCATCCAACACCCTTTACAATGGAATCTGAAATAGATAAGCTATTAAAGATGCCTAATTCCTCTGGTTTTTTTTTTTTTTTTAAAGAAAAGAAAAAGAAAAACCCATCCCTTACCAGCGACATAAAACAGGGTGTTGCAAAAGGTTCCAACGAAAAAGGTTCGAAAGCAAGGTGAAACAAGATTCAGATCCGTGTTTTTCCTACTCAAAACTTCTATTATACACATAAAGAGGGAAAATGGAAAAGGAAGAATTGGTAAAAAGATGATAGCAAGATACAGCTGTATCCAGTGGATTGACAACCAAGCAATGAAAGGGATCTGCCCAAGAAAATGACTAAAAGTATGCAATTTGAAGTGATCTGAGCTGCATGATTATTATCATATCTTCGCGTTTTCCATAATTGAAAAACAAAGTAAGATATGAAAATAACAGCCCCCTAGTAACTCCTATGAATTGAAAATCAACGGATGAGTTAACCCCAGAATCGAAAATACATTCCTCGTAATGGAAAATCATCACATACCAATCAAAATTCACCCATGAATCAAACAACCAAACAAAGAATCAAACTTCTGCACTCAAAAATCAAGCCAAACGCATCTTAAATCGGATCCCATTTACAGAACAAGGAAAAAATGAAATGGCCCCATGAAAAACACGGCGCCAAAGAACCCAGAATGCGAATTCAATCAGATCCCACCAAAGAAACAAACATATAATCAAAACCCAGAATCCACCCACGAAAAACAAACAAGAAAAGATGGAAGCTTACAGGGTATCCTGATGGTATAACGAACAGCAATGCGTAAAGACAAGATCTAATGGGAACACCCCATTTATCTCCAATAAAGAATCAAGAGAAAAAGGAGAGATTTAGATCTGTAGCAGTGCTAGCTTGCATTTGGTATTCTAAAAAATAAAAAATTCTAAAAATGGATAAAGAAAAAGGCTTGTGTGTGTACTGTGCGTGTGCAAAACAGTTAGATACGTCGAGGTCCGTTACAGATCGATATGAGCTAGGCATCCACTAGGATTTGGTTATACTAAGTTTAATGTTAGAAATATGTTAATTAACAATTAATTTTTTAGTAATTATTAATAAAATTGCCAACGGACCCTGTGACCCAATTGGTTGGCCCCCAAACTTTAGGGCTTAGGTGAGGCAGAGGTCAGGGGTTTCGAGCTCTGCCACCGCGATGAACTCCAATAACTTACTACTTAATGGT